ATATATTTGACTAACAAGGTAGTAATGGTGGACGTACTTGTTGAGCTTGGTATCGATACGGACATCCTCTGTCTTCATCTGCTTCTGGGCGAAGGCTTTAATGGCACGAACGACCTTAGGAGCACGCTTCTTAAAGGTCTGCTTGTGCACGATCTTATGGACGTGGATCGTGTGATCAACAGTCAAAGGCTGCATGATCTTCTTGCTAGAGTCTCCTAAGAATAGAACACCAAGTACGGACCCGAACCGGCTATTCCGACGCGTCAATCAGTACTTAATGAGTCACACGTAGCACTACCACATCAATCATACTCTCACACTTCACTTTCTGACATAATACACCCGCACCCTTATTACCCTTTGCCATCTTTAGGTCACGGTTCAACCGAGGTTAAAAAGAGGCCAGCTACAATATATATCGATCATATGGGCGAGCGAGATCTTGACAACGCCACCTCATGAATGCTCCTCACGAGCCGCATGTGGGTTGAGGAGTCGTTATGCTGTGGCACTACTCTTGCCGTGGTCACGGAAGTGCTGCATGCAAACCCGTGAATCACGGGCCAGGATGATGTCTAGGCATTCGAATCGTTATTGCCTTTGAGACAGGACTGGCCTTGTATCACAACGGTCCATGAGACGGCATCACGAGTTGGTGTCAATAGCCTCACTAGATTGCGATGATCCATCCATAGCTGCCGTTATACTTCGTTAAAGCTTTCTTCGTCTTATCATCATACAACTACCTAACACCTTACTGCTCTAATTCATGCTCCTCGTCTAAGGGAAGTTCCCCTTTCCTATCCATGGATGGTTTTAGAATCAAGTTTAAGTGCATTTAACGAGCCATGCACAAGCTGAGTACTAGGTGAGCTGCTATCTCATCATAGCCTCTCTGTATCCACACAGCGACACGTGGTAGAGGTATCATGACTAGGTCCAGTAGTGCGCGCTATACTGAGTCCTACTGAGGCTTGTCACTCTATACTGCGGTTCCATCAGTTAGTTACGTGTAGGAAACACTTCGATTCGCTTCATGTTCCCCCAATATTCAACAGGGAGTTTTATGTACGACCTAACAGTCCGAGACATGCGCTTCAGAGTGAGGTTTACTGCTTGAGGTATACCCGGACAGAGAATATTTGTGACGAGGACGAAGAACGTTGGGCTCAAGACACGCTTATCGTTTTGGTGGTGGCCATCCTAGAGGTTGTATCTTCACCATGATTGGGATCTCATCGTCCATTCCTTGGAGTTAGGCAGAGGAGTACGAGTAGCTTGTATTCTTACCAGTAGGAGTAGTACTGTGCTACTAGTACGCCTCTCTTAGAGAGGTAGTATGTTGTCAGCTACTGTATGGGGCTCGAGCTCTGTGGATACGTTTTAGCTCTGATAGGGAAGTGTTGGACGATTGAAACTCGTAGTTCCTTCGTCCCTTAATATAAATTTATACCCTGGAGAACACATACATGGGATTTCGCAGTGATTATTGTCGTGTTTGTGTTGCTAAGAGTGGGATAGTCCTTTTACTATGTTGGGAGCATACCCATACAAATGGTGGTTAGTGTTGGGCTCTTTTGCTTAATGATAAGTGGTCGGCAAGTGTCCACACCCTCACTGTCGGGCATGCCTGCTGCTAGTAAGGATAATCTGGGTAAGACTTAGTATGTTGTAGTATGGAGGTACAT